ATTTAATGCCGACATAGCAATTTGATGTTTACTTTACAACAATGTATTTAAAAAGTCCTAGAGGAAAGAGGTAAGCACATTAAAGCATATAAAAAATAGATAATTGATTATAGGGTAAAACGCCAGTAATTGACCGTCAGCCAGTGTTTGACCGTTTTCGTGAAAAAATGTGAAAAATAAGAGTTCTAGGAATATCTTAAGGAGTATGAAACTATTCATAAATAGCCTGAAGTTTTTTCTCCACCCCCTGCTATGCAAAACTTTCGCTTTGTCATACCAGATTGTCGTACTTCTTGTTTAGTTTACCTCCAACCACAGGCTGTGCACATCGTCTTAAAAAGTGTAATTTTTGAATTAAGAAGTTCACCTAATTAAGGTAATATTATTCATCTCTTTTTGCATTTTTTATAATTTTTTTTGTTTGACGGTGTTCTAATAAATGTTATTTATTGTTTATATCAAAAAAATACCGCTTTAATTTATTTTTTTGTCAAAATACAGCCGGTCAAAGACTGGTAGCTCTAAATTTGAATAAAAATTAGTGTTTGACCAATCGGTCAAATACTGGAAAAATTATGAGATTTATTACCTCACAACTATTGGAGATGGGTTTATAATAGAATAAATTTTAATATCATTTTTTTTTCATTATATCTTCCCCTTTAAATGGTTTAGTATTCGACCGAAATTTTATGCTCTATAAATAAGATACATGCAGTTTAAATGTTCAGTCAATAACTGGTTCTTTTTTGGTCATTTATTGGGCAAAAACAGGTCAAACATTGAGTTTTTTAGCAGGCTTCAAGTTTTATAAATATTTTAGTCTAATATAAAACATAATGCAAATATTTGTATCTTTTCTGTTTTATTAAACATCCTTCATAACGACAAAAGTAATTGACCGCACTTAAGTAGGAATAATCTCTGTCAAATAAATATAATATATGTTTGGTCAAATACTGGCCCCTATAGGGGTCAATTACTAATAAATTGGAAATATATTTAGGGAATTTGAACCACGATTCCTTTTTTTTCAGAACCATTATGTCAACAAAGCCTAAATTTAAATATAGTGAAAAAGATCTTCAAAAGGCCCTCGATGCAAGAAGTAGGGGTTTATCTTATGAAAAAGCAGCCAAGATATTCAATGTACCAAAGTCAACTCATGCATGCATTTTTTAAGAATAAAAATGGTTTTAAAATATTATTTTCTATTATCATTCTTTTTGTCAACTTTTAAATCTTAAAAAGAACAAATAGAACATTTTATGATAAACAAAATAATAGGGAAAAATAATAAATATACCAAAGTATTACTTCCAAAAAATGGTCAAACACTTACAGCTATTTGCACCGGTGTTCCTTAAAAACAAACTAAGTTAGGTAGAGGCTAACCTCAAGGTGAACCTTTAGGTTGAGTTGCTTTGCACCGACCAAATCTTAGCTAAGAATTGAAAGCTATTGGCAACAGCGCAAAAATGCGTATTTCAAGGCAGAAATGAAAGAGGAGGTACCTATTTCAAGCAAGGAATTTATCCGTTAACCTATCTTTGCGATTAAAATATAAATATTTTCGTTAATTTCGTCTTTTCTTTTATAAGTTATATCACGTGGATATTATTTTGAATATATTTTTGGCATTCTTGTGCAAAATTCTGTAGAAATTACCCAACTCAAAAATATTTTTTAAAAAGAATTTAAATCGAAGTATAGGTAGTTTTTTTATAACAAATTCAATTTTCTTCCAAAAAGTGGTCCAAGTTGCCAAGTTTGCTGTAAAAGTAATAAACCATAAACGCAAAAAATAAAAGCATTAACAAATAACTAAATAACAGCAACAACCATAAAAAAAAAACTTCGGAAAACTGGCAAGGGAAAGGAGCAAGGAGCTCCTTGTGTTCAATTTGGCAGTCGGAAAATTAAAATACCCTACCTACATTGTTTTTGCTATGAAAATAAACATATATATATATTTTTTTTTTGCTTTAAACCAAAAGATGCAGTCTTCGGAGAAAAGGCTCTTGGAACCTTGGATATGCAAATACAAAATCATCGATAATCAAAGTCAACCAGAATTCTGTCAAAAAAAAAGAAAACAAAACCCAAAAATGAGGTTAGAATCCAACTAAGCGGAAAAAATCTGGGGCTTAACTTAACTAGACTTGAGGTGGACCCTAAACAACGGTGCAAAGCAAAATCGTAGTTTAAGTTCCACTTAAGACTAGGCTGACCTTAAGTTGTAGCGGTGCAAATAGCAGTTAGAGTTTTAAGGTCAAAGACTAGATAATTTCGGTCAACTAATTCAATCAAAGTGGTCAAAGACTAAATATCCTAACACCGTTTTCTTTTTTCATTTTTAAAAATTCTACTTTATGACGGTATATTTAATATCTGGGCTAAGTAACTTTAACTGAATAACATGTATGTTTGATCACATTTTTGATCATTTTATTTGAATGTATATGTATCTACCAGAAAAATAATAAGACTCGGTCAAACACTGATACTAAAAAATCCTTAAGCGGTCAAACACTGGTGCGTTTACCCTAAATCAGCATGGCAATTGGTTAATATAACTTGCCTAGCAGACGCCAGAAATAATCCCCACAAGGAAAAAAAAAACTATTTTACCTTTGTGAAGGCCACCTTCTATGATAGAAGGCTATGATGGTATTTTATTTCTCTTTTTTTGTTGCTTCAGTCATTGTTCGGATGTTTTCCAGTTGTCCCAGGTAAAGGGCCCCATACACTAAAGTCTGTTTTTTTTTTTAAGATAATTCCCCAAGTCAAAAATTTAGTAACTATGTTGGCAACACAAGCCTTTTCTCCTTTTCTACATAAAAAATTTGAAAACATTGACAATTTTACATTGTATTGCCAACATAATGTCATTTTGACTTTTATCTTTAAAAAAAAAACGCACTTTACGTTCTTTCTCGTCGGTTTTCATCGCCACGATGAAACACGACGTTCCTAAACCGAAGTGTGTGGTAGAAAACCGTCGTGTTTTTCTACCACACACTTCGGTTTGGGAACGACGTGTTTCATCGCGGCGATAAAAACCGACGAGAAATAACGTAGTGTATGGGGCCCTTAACGCATTGGGTGCTCTCGCTCTTAAACACGACATACACACTTGCCGCTAGGTAAAGGTTAACAAACAATTAGACTATCCAGAACACGTGACTTTGACAAGCAAAATATGGCCAACAAGAGGCACACAAACATTGACACAAACACAAACCATAACGTCATTGTTTGGTCAAGGTTGCTCGACCTGCATTTCACTTGGACACGCAGGATCTACCCTTGATGTAGAAATATTTATTTATTTCAACTCCACCGTACAGTGTTGTGTTTTGATTTGTATTGTTTTTTTCACTTGGAATTTGAGAAAAATTAAGAATGTGCCAATCTCCACGACTTCCACATTTAATGCTACAAGTTGTAGGCATGTTTTTCGCGTTTTTGAGAATTATTTACTACTATTTACATACACTATTCAAATACACTATTTCTAATATTAATGAAAATAACAGTTTTAAGTATCGGAATGCAAATAATTCACAATGATCCCTATTTTAAGCTCATATATTATTTGATGACAATTTTGATGACACATAAACAAAGGGTTTGTGTGCCTCTTGGCGGCCATTTTAATTCAAGTTTGACAGCATCTTGGATAGTCTAATGGCGTTTCCGATTGGTAGATTCAGTGCGCACTGAGTGTATTTGCATCCTTTTAATCGACCTGTAGAAGAAAAAGACAAATAGAAAAATTTGCACTAGTTCCGCACTAGATCTACCAATCGGAAACGCCATAATATTGAATAATTGGCACAGAGGCGTCCTCTACCATTGCAACCTTGTCTGATTTTTATGTGTAAATGTACAGATTGTTTCACCAGGGTTCATACTTGACCTTAAAACTTGAAAAAAAAGGGCTGCCGTAGATTAATCCATATAACACATTCAATTTTTTTGATAAATTAAAATGAATGACTTCTGGTTTATGAACCGACGAACGTTTTTGACGTCCACAATACTGTAATATTATGTTATACAGGGCGTCCTACGACGTTTTACCCAGGTGATAACTTCGGAACGTGTCATCCAATGTAATTGAAATCTTGAGGATCTGGGTAACATTTTGTGCCGCTTCTACAGGTGTCATCCAATTTCACCACTTTCACTTCCATTTTGGTCAAGTGACGGCAACTTTAGAAACTTAAATGTAACCATTATGTAACTTATGGCATATTATGACATTTTTCATTAGAAAATTACTTCCGAAGTTATCACCTGGGTAAAATTTCGTGGGCACCCTGTATAATTAATAAGTGTGGTAATTAAATAGGTTATTGCCGCACGCGAGATTAATTTGCAAACCCAGCGGTGAGGCGGTAATAACCAATGACATCACGTGATAACCTAATTACCATGGATAAAAGAAGTTCAAAAAATTATACAAAATAAAGTTGCGTCTCTGGCTGTCTCTCACCACTGTAAAATAATTAAAATCTGTTTTTTTTTTAAGATAAAAGTCATTTTTTTTTAAGATAAAAGACATTATGTTGGCAATACAATGTAAAATTGTCAATGCTTTCAAATTTTTTATGTAGAAAAGGCTTGTGTTGCCAACATAGTTACTAAATTTTTGCCTTGGGGAATTATCTTTAAAAAAAACAGACTAATTATTATTGTTTTTCATATCAAGAGTTTTTATGTTTTTCAATACACTTGCAAGCTCAGAATAGGGCAGAATTGGTTGACAGGGGTACAGAAAACTTTTCAAACATTGTTTCAAACCATTGAGTTTCAAACCATATCAAGGGGATGTTAAAAAAACTTGAAGTATCAATTATTTACATGTCAAAATTTGACAACAAGGATATAGGTTGGACAATTTTGGAGTTTCAACCGAAACCATTTTCAAAATCCTCTGTCTTAAAATGAAATATGATCTTCTGTTAATTTTCTTAAATTCCTGCATTCTAATAATGGCCAGTGACAAACAGCGATCATGTTCCAGTCCTATTTATTGTGAAGGTGAACTTTTGCACTTGGTACAAACAGCAAAAATCTTCAACGACTCCAAAACCTTTGTGGACATGGCCATGAAACATCCTGTGAATGAAACCCTGGAACATTTTGACAGATTTATGAGAAAAACCGATCACAAACCCACCCAGCGAGAAATTGGCGATTTCGTTTACGAAAATTTTCACACGGTTGGCGAAATGGAAGATTTTTATCCGAGAGACTGGAGAGCTGAACCTAAATTCGTTAAGGAAGTTGACGATCCAATTATTAGATCGTTTTTGACTAAATTAATCGCCATTTGGCCTCAATTAGCCAGAAAAATTTCGCAGCACGTTTTTGATAGGCCTGATACGTTTTCCCTCATTCCTGTACCACACGCTTTTATAATACCAGGAGGAAGATTTAAGGAATTTTATTATTGGGATTCTTATTGGATTTTAAAAGGTTTACTTCTTAGCGACATGAAAGAAACTGCAAAGGGTGTACTAGATAATTTCATACACATGATTATTACGTTTGGTTTTATTCCAAACGGAGGCAGAATATATTATTTGAGCAGATCCCAACCTCCAGTTTTGAGTTTAATGATGAAAGATTACGTGAAATATACAAAAGATTTTAGTTATTTACGACAAAACGTTCAATATTTAGGAACAGAATTGCATTTCTGGCTCAGAAGACGTGTCAGTAAAATAGTAAAAGGCGGCGAAGAATATAAACTGTGCCATTATGACTCGGAAAGCGATAGTCCGAGACCCGAGTCTTATTTAGAAGACTTGGAAACTTGCTTTGTTTATAATACTACTGAAGGTCAACACGAGTGCTATACAGACCTTAAGAGTGGCGCTGAAAGTGGCTGGGATTTTAGTTCTAGATGGCTCTTTGAGGACAATGGAGACCCAAGTGACGATTTAGCTAAAATCAGCACCAGAAGAAATATTCCTGTGGACTTAAATTCGTTTTTATATAAATCGTTTAAGGTGATGCATTATTTTCATGCTACGCTGAGACAAGCTGCAGATGCTAAATATTGGAAGGACCTAGCAGAATTATGGAAATATAACATAGAAAAAGTTTTGTATTCGCCAGAAGACGGGATTTGGTACGATTATGATTTCAAATTAGATAGACACAGAAAATATTTCTCTGCTAGTAATTTTGCTCCGCTATGGGCCGAAGCTATGGACGACGATGTTCAAAAAGAACGTGGGAATAATGCAGTACAATACTTAAAAAGACACGGGATCTTGAATTATTATGGGGTACCTTCAACGCTATTCACAAGTGGACTACAATGGGATTTTCCCAACGTCTGGTCTCCATATCAGAATATGATTATATTTGGTTTGGAAAGGTCAGGAGACGAAGAAGCTCAAGAAGTCGCCAAAATTTTAGCTCATCGATGGGTACAGTCGAATATAAAAGCTTTCGACGAGAATAAGGTGATGTTTGAAAAATATAGTGCGCATGCAAGTGGGGCATTTGGAGGTGGAGGAGAGTATCATATTCAAGCTGGCTTTGGATGGACTAATGGGGCTATCATGGAGATTATTGATTATTACTTTAGATATAAGAAAAGGAAGCATATTAGTTTGCAGGATTGATTTGTTTTTGTTTCTTTTTGGAATAAAAAATTTAGTTTTATTCAGTTATCTATATACATAATTGGTTTCAATCGAAAGTTTCTCCATATGCCTAGTGTTAGATGTATTATTAACAAAACAATGGTTTCGCAAGTCGTTAAAGTCTCGTCTTTCCAGAGTCGTCCTAGTAGTATGATCGAACAATCCAACCTTTCTGAATTCGATGAACAATCGCGCTCAGCCCCATTGGCGCCCACTTCTCTTCCGGTGGGAGACTGTAAATACGAAATTCAACCTAAAAACCCTAAAGCCTGGAGCCCCGTTCACTCTGTAGGCTCGATTGTGGGTACCGAAGTACACCCTGAAACTGATGAAAGCGTTTGGAGCGAATCCAGTAGAGACTCTTGCATATTTGCCGAAGACGAAGAAATGGGTTGGGCAGAGTATGATGCTCCATGGTCGTGGGTAAGCGACATATTTTCTGAAAAAAATTGAATCTAATAGTTTTCATAGGTTGAAGCTGGGACGTGTCTGTTGGAACCAAGTCAGCTTCCAAATTGGTTTTCTGATTCGAACTGTGGCGCAATGCAAGAGGAATTTGAGCAACCTTGGCGCAATAGGATTTTGGAGGATCTTAAAGGTAGATTACCAAATCAGGATAAATTTACGTTATACGAACCTGCCATTGATACGACTTCTTGGATACACAAGGGTGAAGCCAGAGTTAATTTGGGAACTTCTACTTTTGTCGATTGTATTTTACAGTTGGAATGGATTCAGACCACTGGAACTTTGACTATATTGAATCCTGATGGCGCTACAACCATGGTAAATGTTGTTTTGTTCGTTTATATTAAAGATTTGTTAAGGGTCTCTTTTTTAGCATTCCTTTACCCTGAGTGATATAACCTGTGTTCAATTAAGTAGTGAGCCAGGAAGTCCGAGATTGTCTATACACACACCTAGAAATTATCCTCCTGTTGTTAATTTGCAGTTTTCCAGTGATACTTTATTGGAAGAATGGCAAACGCATTTCGCAACTACTTGCAGTAAATTGCGAGATTTACAAGGTAAAAATTGTTTCTATATTTTTTTTTTATATAGAGTAAAATCTTTACATTTCTTCAGGTAAGCCTAGTGACGAAAGCATTTGGGCTGTGACAACCCTAGGTGACATTTTCGTATGGGACCCTTCTCAGCTAGAAAGCAACCAACTAAGAGAAGATGATCTTTATTTGCAAAAATTTGACCTGAGTGGCAAAGAATGCCCTATAAAGGTAGCCTTACATGTTGGTTGTAGCCCTGGAACTACTCTGACATTAACTGGGTAAGAACTGTTCAACAACAAAAATTTGAATCAGTGATATTAGAGTTTTCATCTAGTTGTGTTGGGGATGAAGCTGACCGTTTAGGCATCAACCTGGAAGCTCCAATAACCTACAAAAGCAAACACAAAGCTTTTAGTGAGCTGGAAAACGTGTGTCTTCATTTAAATCCCAGATTTTCAGAAAACGTTGTCATAAGGAATTCAATGCAAGAAGGCAAATGGGATAATGAAGAAAGAGAGGGCAGCATGCCTTTTGCCAGGGGCCAGGAATTTAAGTTGCTAATTGAAAGCACAGAAGATGCTTTCAATATTTATGTTAATGATGAGAAATTTACTAGTTTCAGGTAAGAATATACATATTTTTGTTTTTTAATTGCATCTATTGATTGCAATAGTGGAGGTGAAACACAACCTGCTGGTGTTGTAAGCCTCAAAATAACAAGAGATGTCCAACTCCATTTTTTTTAGACATCGTCTTCCTCCAAGTTCCGCCTGTATATTATATCTATGGGGTAAAATGCAGCCGTTTAAATTAGTAATTAAAAGTCCTATGATTATTGTCGATCCCTTAGAGCTATATTGGAAACAGTTAGGCGGACATTTGAGACGTGTGGAAACTTGTAATGCTGGCATTACATGGGGAATAGGTGAGATTAGTATTTTATTTTTGTAGCCTGAGGCAAATAAGGGCTGCATATCGCTTAAGGGATTAAAACATACTTAAGTTCCAAATGATTCTACATCTTGAAATAATTAAATATTTTAAACTTTGTATTGAGGAAAGGATATTTTCTCCTAAAAATGTAATCTTCTTTCTAGGTTATGATCATACAGCCTGGGTGTACAGTGGCGGTTGGGGCGGAGGCTTTTCAGGAAATTTAGACAGCCAAAATATATATCAATTAACTGATTCTCAAGATTATAGAGTTTACGAGAATCAAAGATGGAATCCTGTTACTGGCTATACTGCATCAGGTGAGAAATATACAAAACACCCATCAAGTCAAAATTGGGACTCATATCAAACTAAGCCCCAAGAAACTAGGAAATTGAAACGAACTCTCAGAAATAGCAAATTTACAAATAAAAATGTAAATGATCCACAATCCTCAATTTAGACTGAACTATGACGTCTGCAAGATTTTCAGACTTTCTATTAAGTTGCCTTATTTCAAAACAAAAAGCTTGTATAAATATTACAAATCAGGCATTTTCAATAAGATAACAAAATAATCGGAGTAATAAAAATATAAATTTGTTATCAAGAATAACCCCAAGACACTTTAATTTTTTGAACTTCTTCCAACTCATTGTTACTCATTTTAATTGAATATCTGCTCTCAGTAAAAAAAAATTGGTACTATGTGTACTAATAAACATAAATTTAGTTTTACTAATATTATTCTTCAAAATGATGAATGATCGTTCATTGTATTTAGGGCATTGTTAACAGTTTCCACCAAAAAATTCGAATCTTTTGAGAAGGCGTAGAAAAGACTATCATCAGCGAAGTTGTGTAATTCAATGTCATTTATCACATCTGGCAAATCGTTGATATAAATTATAAATAATGAACAATAGTGGACCCAAAACACTTCCCTGTGGTACACGATGCTCATTGATTATCTCTATTGAACGTGTTCCATTTGTCTTCTTGATGTCAGATAATCTCCAAACCATCTCAACACCACATCCCCAATTCCAATTCTTTCCAGTTTCATCAGTAATCTGTGCCGATTGACTGTCTCAAAGGCTCTCTATAAGTCCAGAAAAACCGCCAGTACACTGTAACCTTGGTCATATTTTATTTTAAATGCATCCAGAATATACTGTATTAAAGTTTCACAGCTGTAACCATTTCTGAAACCTGACTGTTTCTCTGTTATAATAGCTCGATGGTTATAATATTATATGTGTTCAAAAATTCAAGAAGCTGCATATACAATGTGATTTTTTAAGTGTGCAACATATGGGGATTTTTTTTAGTAATAGCACAACCCAAATACAAACAAGGCCAAAAGTTGGTGCATGTCTGATAATCATATTAGGAGCACTTAGAATGGTTGCAAGTCAAACAGCATACAGGGTAGCTCAAACAATATCAAAGCTGGTACTGTAAAGTACCCTTATTTTAGAAAATTCAGCAAAATGTTATAGAGAAAAGTGGTTTGGAATTAAAAGTTATGCCTAAATACCAAAACATAGCCTCCTAAGATTTTTTTATTTTCTTTCGAAAAAAAATCTATAATTTCTATATTTTTTTTATTTTTTATTTTTGCCCTTAATACTTTCAATAATTAATTAAAATCAAATCAATTTTATATAACTTTGTTCAAATTCAAGCATATTTCTAAAATTAACTTGGATTTTTAATTTTTTATGGAATCCCCAAATTTATGTTTGTTGCAATGATATTCAACACAACTTTAAAATGTCGCAATTTTTTTTTGAACAAGTTAAAACATTACTTATGATAATAGCCATATTAAAAAAAACTCTCCTTAAAGTGCAAAAGTTTTATTTTATTCAAGTATAGTCTGGCTAGCCAAACGGCGAACTCAAAAAGAATTTGCTGCAATGCCAAACTTGACAGAAACAATAATAAACAAGTTGGTGACATTTTTTTTTTGCAATATGGGCCGTGTAGTATTTTGAAATGGGAAAAAATCCGGCAACATTACGAAATGAAGGAAGCGGAGAGGCGTGATTATTCAGAGGCATGATTCTATTGGTTAGAGCCTGAACGACAGCACCAGTGGCGTGGTTATTCGTGAAACTCAAGAATTTTTTCCCTAATCATTTTTTGGTTTATTTCCTTGGTGTTTTCGGTGCCACTGAACCCAAAGACATGGTTTTCATCAGGCGGTGTCAGTTGAGGTGTCAGTGAATATTCTTAGGTTACGCCCCACTTTTCTTCCCCCTTTCGTCTCTACCAAGTTACCACTTGCCAAACTATAAATATTAGTAGAATTTTGATATTTTTTGAGCCACCCTGTATGCTGTTTGACTTGCAACCATTCTAAGTGCGCCTAATATGATTATCAGACATGCACCATGCATTTTTATTTTGATTGTGCTATTACTAAAAAAAATCCCATATGTTGCACACTTAAGTAATGACACTGTATACAACTTTTTCAATTATTTTCTCAATGACAGAATAGTTATTTATGCAACAAGTGTGTAAAGAGAAAAAGAGAAAAAAGGTGCTTTACGCACGTATTGCATGCAAGAATTTTTCTACTACCAATCAAATATGTGTGAAAAAATTGATTTAGACAAATACTTTACAAACTAGTGCGTGAAGTATTTTCACTTTACGCACTAGTGCGTAAAGTAATTTACCAGAAAAATACTAGTGACAGTGTCAATATCTGTCATTGACATTACTTTACGCACCAGTGTGTGAAGTGAATTACTTCACGCACTAGTGTGTGAAGTGGAATTTTACGTCTTCTGAATAGTGCGTAAAGTGAGTACTTTACGCACGGTAGTAGAAAAAGTGTATTAATGGGACGAAAATTAGATGCCTCTATTGAGTCAGGCTTTTTTGAACTGTTATTATTGTAGCGAGCTTTAGAGGATCGGGAAACTTTCCTTGTTCCAGTGAACTATTTATAGTCCGGGAGTTAACGACATATTTCATTGTACCATTTCCGCAAGCTTCATTCTTTTTGTATGTGCTATGCGTGTAGTATATGATAGTAATATGAACGTCTGCCAGCGCACCAACACGACAGGTGGTTACAAGAGGGTTTTAATTACAGCAAAAAATGAAGGAAAAAAACTTATAGCCGCAAGCCGCATAAGCGAAACTTATTGTACGTATTGGTAGAAACATATAAAGCTTATAAAATATCGTCTGCCACCTGAATTTCACAACAAAAGTCGTCTGCCACCCACATAAGTAAGCGCAAAAAAAATATTTAAAAAAATTATACATACTCGCAAGGCTGAAATAAATTAAAATACATCTTTTTATGGAAAGAAACACAAACATAATAGTCTGCCACGGATAAGATACAACGAAGATCGTCTGCCAAACCTATGAAGTTGGGTTCGGCATGCAATGCCCGCTAGAACGCTGCATTTTCTCTTATTTCTATTTATTTTATTTTTTTTGTAAGGCTAACCAGAATGAATTGTGAAAAGCTCAAGCCTAATGTTCTAGAGTTATTAAAGGGATTATAGAAGGATTCATCGTGTACACTCAAAATGGAAATGAAAATTTCCACTTTGAATATTTATTTTCTCTTTTTGACACTTGTCAAACTCACTATAATAGTATATTATATAATAAGTGTGGTAACTAGGTTATTACCGCACGCGAGAGAAATTTGCAACCCGAGCCGGTGAGGCGAGGTTTGCAATCTCCAAGGGCGGTAATAACCTAATTACCATACGCATTATATACAGTATTTTATCTACAAGCGTGCGGTAACAAAATATCCGAAAGAATTTTAAATTTTTTTAAAAAAAATGCGTCTGTCGCCTTTGACAGTGTACAGGGTGGTCCAAATTGGACACTTTCTTATGGAAACACCCTTTATTTTTAGAGATAGAAAAAAATGGACCCCTCACTCTCAGGCTCAAATTTCATGAAATTTTGATTGATGCAAACCGCATTTTGATATCTTCTACCGTTTAGGCGCTAGAGGGCAATTCTCGACTTTGAGCAATACTGTAAAGCCTCCATAACTTTTTTGTTTATGGAAATAATTTATTTCCGTAAAGACCTTTTGGAAGCACTTTTTCAAGCAGAATTCAGTGACGTTCTCAGTTTTTTTTCTGTCTGGCTTCGATTTCGAGATATTGACCAAAATTTGATTTTTTTCAATAGGACACTCTATATATTAATAGTTCATTAGAAAGCTATGCTTTCGCTGATTTTAATGATACAGGTTTGATAGGTTTATCTCTAACAGTTTTCGAGAAAAAAATTATTTCGGTTTTTGTCATAAGAAACAATGTGTAAGAAAGAGACCTTTCTCAGTTTCCTTCCAGAGATAAAGTCCTTTTCCAACACATTGTTTCTTATGACAAAAACCGAAATAATTTTTTTTCTCGAAAACTGTTAGAGACAAACCTATCAAGCCTTGTATCATTAAAATGAGCGAAAGCATAGCTTTTTAATGAACTATTAATATATAGAGTGTCTGTCCTATTGAAAAAAATCGGATTTTGGTCAATATCTCGAAATCGAAGCCAGACAGAAAAAAACTGAGAATGTCACTGAATTCTGCTTGAAAAAGTGCTTCTAAAAGGTCCTTACGGAAATGGATTATTTTCATAAACAAGAAAGTTATGGAGGCTTTACAGTATTGCTCAAAATCGAGAATCGCCCTCTAGCGGCTAAACGGTTGAAGATATCAAAATGCGGTTTGCACCAATCAAGATTTCATGAAATGTGAGCCTCAGAGTGGGGGGTCCATTTTTTCTATCTCTAAAAATAAAGGGTGTTTCCATAAGAAAGTGTCCAATTTGGCCCACCCTGTACAAGTAGAATTTAGGTGATAGGTAGGTAACTTATCTCTGGTAGGTAATTAAAGGTATGTACGTACCTATGTAGGTAGAGCGTGCGGTAATGTGGTACTTACCGCACGCAAAAACTTTAGTTACCGCACGCTTGTAGATAAAAATAATTAATTTCAGCCTTTCGGGTGTAATTTTTTTTTTAAATTTTTTTTGCGCTTACTTATGTGGGTGGCAGACGACTTTTGTTGTGAAATTAAGGTGGCAGACGACATTTTCTAAGCTTTATATGTTTCTACCAATACGTGCAATAAGTTTCGCTTATGCGGCTATAATTTTTTTTCGTTAATTTTTTGCTGTAATTGTAACCCTCTGTCGTGCTGGTGCGCCGGCAGACGTTCATATTACTATCATATACTACACGCATAACATATACAAAAAGAATGAGGCTTGCGGAAATGGAACAATAAAATATGTCGTTAACTCCCAGACTATTATTAAAT